TTTACCTCTGACATTTTTTCCTCTGACATTTTTTCCTCTGACATTTTTACCTCTGACATTTTTTCCTCTGACATTTTTTCCTCTGACATTTTTTCCTCTGACATTTTTACCTCTGACATTTTTACCTCTGACATTTTTACCTGGCACCGTGTGACTGAGTGAATCTCTCAGCACGGTGTAGTAAATAGCTGACAATTCTTATCTGTTTTCAAGAACGAAAAAAAATTGTTTTGAGCGCAAAATTAAAAGAAGCCCGCAAATCAAAGTCAGATACCCTGGGCCAGAAGAGGTATTCAATTTTCAATATTTCTCTTGTGTGTGTTTGTGCGACTCTTGTAATTATTGTACATGTCATCAGTACATTGTAGACGTAAATGTACACTCAACTTTAGCTCTTTCATTACTTTTGTTTCCATAATTGTCATCATGACCGTCATTATAATCATCACAACGATCATCGCCATCACCTACTATCACATCATCATCATTATGAGCAACATGACAACTCAGGCGGATGACTGAAGCCTGCGTTGTGAGTTAACACGCCCCTCCCCTTGTTTCATATAGACGCAGGCTATGTTAAGTGGAAAACACTCCGTCCCTCAGATAGGACGTTAAATGGAGGCCCCGTGTAGAGAAGAGTCACTACCTCTGCACGTTAAGAACCTAGTCGTATAAGAGTAGGGGGGAAACCCCGGTGTCATATAGTAGTGGTCCACCTGCACACCCCATTATAATACGACAATGCTCTGTAAAGAGGGATGTACTCAATTGAAAGAAGAACTCCATCATCGATATTTTCAACATTCTCCTTCTCCTCATCTTCATTCCGCTTTTTCTTCTTTTTCTTATAGTTCTTTTGCTTCACCTCCTCCCCCTCTCACCCCTTCCTACTCCTCTTTCTATTTCCTTCTTCCTCTCTTTCTACTCTATCTTCCTCTTCTCTCGATCTTTCTTCTTCTACTCTTCCTCGTCCATCCCTTCCTCATCCTCTTACTTTTGCTCTTCCTATTTTTCTTCTTCCTCTCTTCCTTGTCTACCTTCATCTTCTCTTGATCTTTCTTCTTTTCTTTCTCCTCCTCCTCCTTCTTCTACCACACCCCCTTCCTCTTTCTACTTCTCTTTTTCCTCTTGTCTTGATCTTTCCTATCCTTCCCTCTTTTCGGATTTCCATTATTCTCCACACCCCTCAGTATTTTTCCAATCACAATCTGACTTCTAGACCAATCATACGATATTATTGTCTAAAATATAATAATATACACTTTCAAGGATATGAACAGTCCGGGCACACCAGTGTCTTTCTAAATACAATGGAATCTTTAATCTCGTAGTATATTTTATTACAGAAGAATATTCTAAATCACACACTTTGGTTCTGAATCGGTACAGCCGAAGACACATTACTGAATCACCGATAATATCAAAACCACATAACCACGGAATGAAAGCATCAGTACAAAATATCAATCATGATCATGATAATAACATGAAGAATACAACACATCTCAAATCGCGCATATTCACAAGGACACCCCCCCCCCCCATGATTCTGATCACCAGGCCCGTAGCCAAAGGGGGGATCGTGCCCCCCCCCCCCCCCCCCCAAAAAAAAAAAAAATAAATAAATAAAAATAAAAAAAATCCAAGATCGGTTGAACTTTTTTAGACCCCTCCCCAGGACGTCGATCAATTACATGTATGTGCCCCCAAACATCAAACTCTGGCTACGGCCCTGCTGATCACGTATTATTTGAATGAAATAATTTTGCTGTCCATACGGGATGAGATGTTCTGCAGAACATGATGCCTGCATGAAGAGCGATATTATCGAACGTCTTGCACAGACGACCTTTAAATTATTAAAGCTGACATTTCGCTGCCCATAGTGTCCATATTTACGGAGAGATATCATTTCTTGCCGTCTAGACAGATACATTTCATGATCTATTTAGAATCAGGACCAAACTGTTCCTCTGAACACGGCTTATATACCCCACTCACATTAACGAGACCGATACCAGACCGATAATAGATCGAATACAAATGTGGATTGCCCCCAATGGCCACGAATTGGTCGGTATGGAGTCGGCCTGGCCGTCTGACCAGGGGCCGGCGCGGCGGTGTGACTGAGATCTATATAATACTATAGATCTCTATATGGATATCATACGGCGGCCGCACTGAACGCGAACGTCGTGTGTCCGCAACGCCACTACTTTGAATTGACTGAACACATCTTATGATCGGGTGATACATTTTGTAGCATCAAATTAAAAATGGGGATGGGGATGGGGGGGGGGGGGGTGGGGGGCGTCCATTTTCCACACCCAGTGCAGCTAGCGTCATCATACTCACAAACAACTCAAACATTGCATCTCATTTTCCGATTCATAGTCACAATAACAGAAGTAAAATTAAGGAAACATCGAAACTGTCTCTATTTAAAAAGCTTGTCTAGTAAACACTAAAAATAATGCATTTAAAAAGAAAAGCCAACACAATCAAGAGAATATAATTGGAATGAACTCATAGCAACACCCGTAACCAAAAGGTTTAGGAGAAAAAAGGAGCATGGTGATTATAACGACTAGGGATAGAAAAATAAATCTGTAGCGGCATATACATTCAATATGAATACATCTTAGAGGTCTGAATTTCAATATAGATGTTTCTCACAGAGGTACATTCATAACACGACCTGCGGATATATTAATGTATGCATGCGGCATGACAAGGAAGATGAACAATTAAAAGGGGAGACAATCATATTATATCGTATATTCAGTACAACATAAACACAATTTCATTACATAATTAAAAGCAGGTATAACTCATACACCCTGCAGACCTGTAGCACATTGCAATCCCGTTTGAAATATTTTTAAAGCCGAAATACAAGTAAATAGAATTAACTTGTTTATTGTTAACCCAATCATGAGTAAATATAAATAGAGATTTGTAAATATAATTGATCTGAAAATGCACTTATCATATGCTATAATACACATAGTTATGTCAGAAAGACCGTGATAGTATCGCACAAAGTTGTATATATAAGATATCAATAATACAGTAACTCCACAAACAAGAACAGAGACACAAATATTAGGGGCATATATTATACACTATAGTCCAAACCTCACGATCTTTAGTAAAATCGAGACGTTTGGGCGTTGGTGTAAACGAAATATAATGTCGAATGAATTTCATTGCCACATTGCACATTGAAGAGTAATGTTGTCAAGCTCCAATTGACTGAGTTTATATAATTTCATTGAGAGAATTGTCTCTTTTCTCATATCATTATCTGGATGTAAAGGGGTCTGAGCATCCAATAGTACAAGTCAACTGTCAAAATAATGTATTGTTTCTGTATAGCCCCTTAACAGCACAAATAATAAATAGCCAAGTAGAAGGAAAAGGAAAAAGGAAAAGAGGCAGACAGAGAAAGCAGCGGTTTGACAACATCAAAGAATGGAAAGGTCTCACATAATTCAGAAGCCAAAAGATTAGCACAGGATAGAAACAAATGGAGAAAGACAACAAGAACATGTGCAGATGTGGTCGCCAATCGCCAGCAAATGACGGTGGCAGCCAGGTAGCCAGGTAGGTATAGCGTTTTGCTGGAATTTTTAATTCCACATACTTTACATAATGGTAAACCTTACGATTCATTCAATGACTTCGAAAGGCACGGATACTGTAATGTATAATCGACCCACATATATAATTAAGAAACAAAAACATGTTTTATGAAATATTCCATGTGTTTGATCATACACATCCGAAAATGGCAATACCCAAAGTCACTGATATAGAGGATCGAGACCGTGACGAAACAATACTATAATAAATAATAATATAAGTGGGTTCTTGTATAGCGCTCATGTCAGTCAGATTTGACCCTCCCGGCGCTCCCGATTATTACCCTGACTTTAGCACGGCTGCCATACGGCGCTCTAGCATTTCAAGGAATAAATTCCTACCGGGTACCCATTTACTTTACTTCACCTGGGTGGAGTGTGGCAAATGTAAATCAATGTCTTGCCATAAAACAATAATAAACAGCTTTAGTGAGAGGAGATTGACCTAGAGATGGCAGCATAACGAGCGATTCATTGACAAATAGATAACACATCCAACATTTTACTCTCTGAACGTAGAGGATAGGAAATCCACTCTTTTACGAGTCACATTAGGAATCAGTAATATTTGGAATCGCCTGGTTTCAGAGCTGAAATAGACGTTAAAATTCTGGATTTCACTCTCAAAAGAGTAACTCAAATAACTACTTTAGAGTCGATTCCACTATAAGTTGTAGTGGATTCAACTCCAAAAGGTGATCCCTATAAATTAATAAGCCCGAAGAGTCGATAATCACTCCACAACACACACAGAGTACTTCAAAGGAATTTACAACTCTTTAAGAAATATACAACGCATTTGATTGTAATTGTTTATAAAATTACCAAAATATACAAAACATTTGATTTGATTTGATATTACACATAAATACAGTATATAATTTTTCATTTACACGTTAATGATAAACAATTGCGGTTCTCACTCATGCAGCTCGTCATTTTGTATTAGTTTCTGTAACCTCGATCTCCCACTTCTTTTTGTCATTGTCTACTCTTTGTATTATGACCGTGTTCTTTTATCTTTGTCGTGTAAAGCATTGTCTTGTCCCTTTCTCGTTTCTGTTGCATCCCCCTTTTTCTTTCCCCTATTTTGTAGTTCCTTTTGTAGTTACGGATTAGTTAATTTAATTACTCATTATTACTAAGTATCATTTGAGGTGTATAAGATTGTATAAGCATTGCTTTTTAGTCGACCCCTCTGTTTCCAACATGTATTTCTTACGTTTGTTTAAAATGCTTATAATTGATTTGTAATGTTTTGTTGGAAACATGAATAAATTGAAATTGAAAATTAAATTGAAAATTGATTTGTAGTTCTTCAATGTAATGTGGAAAAAATGTTCTTCAATATGAGGGGGGGGGGGCTTTGCTTATGACGTAAAGCTCATAAAGACTGGCATACTTTACGAGCGTACTAACTTCATTGTAGATTATTTTATTCTACTGATTTATGGAGCGCTATACGTGTCAAACTCCCCACCCAGTGTACATCACCGTAATTCTCTAACTAAATAAATCCATATAAATTAATTAATTAATTAATACAAAATTAACTGAATAAATAAATAAATGAATAAATAAATTTATTAACAAAATAATTAATAAATAGATAAATTAATTAATGAATGAACAATAGTCGTGTCAACATAAAATCAATATCTTATTTTCATATCATTACAGGGTTCGTAATGCATTCCATTAGTTAGAGAAGTTCAGTATATGTACAAAGTAAAGAGGTTTATAACTTTCGCTCCATAAATCATTGGACTAGGTTACACTAGGTTTAAGTGGGACTGTACTACTTGTAGCTACTTGCGCCCTCTATATAGCCAACAATACCTAAGCGGTACCCGTTGATCCCCATGGTTCCCCTTTTCTTATGATAATTGAGAGCTGATTTGATGAGATAACTACCCGTCAGTGACCATGCAGGGAGTTCTAATCTCTCCTGGCCAAACTAGTGCAGATAGGTTTTATATCTCTTCCTAATTGAGTTTAACTGGAGCCTAGGACTACGGAATATTTCAGCTGATATAGTGCCAGATGAAGTCTGAAATGGAAGACTAGTTATTTGAATAAGCTTGTCAAATCATTGTTTTGACCACTTATATTTGATGAATTCAGACATAACTTCCAAGTGAAATGAGAATATGTTATTTTCTATCTATTGTTATATATTTACTCTTTATTCCTAAGCGATGAAACTTCCACATAAATAATAAACCAAATAAAACTATTACGCGTTAACATTTAGGAATGTAATGAAAATGCAGTTTGGTCTCTTATGATACACATTTCACAAGCGGGGTAATCTATATATTGCATTTTCTTGGAGACATCATAAAAAAAATACAGCTGCAATTAACATTATGATTACTCATGATACATGGATACACATTTCGCGAAATAAAACAACGTCACAGTCGTCACGATATTGCAATATCCGTTAATTAATAAGTGAAACTGAAGAATAATTTGTTTTTCTCGCATACAAGAACATATTTTTGTGTGCACTTTTTCAAATTTTCCAGGGGGAAAATTTCAGCTCCCTAAAAAAATTGAGGGGGAACGTGCCCCCCCCCCCTCCACCTCTGATGCAGATTCACTGAAGAAAAATAAAATAATTGCACATTACATAATTAATTTTATCTATCTTATTGAATGCATATACTTGGTCCAGGTTTTCATCGCAAAGTCAACCTACGTAAGCCAAGGTTAAATGTAGATTGATTTCATAACGCCAAGTTTATTTTCATTGAATACAGATCAGAATTAGCATAGATTTGATGACCGTGCACAATGAATCGAATTTTTTATTCTCAAGTAAAACACATACAATACAATCATTGCATCCTCTGAACTAAACCAAGGACCCGTTTCACAAAGCCATTTGTCAATGACAAATCTGCTGATAACCATTCAGAAGCAAGGAATTCACTAGCTCATAACAATAACTGTCATTTTTCATTGATGACAAGTTTTGTGAAATGGGGCCCAGGTCATTTTGCTTCACTCCTATCACCACATATAGAAATAACTTGTTATGATAAAATCTGTAAATGACTATAGAAAGACATGTTTGCTTGCAATAGTACAACAGCACAGTGGCTGGAATTCACAAAATAAAATTTGAACATAAACCGTGTTCTCAACCATCAATTTACTATGGGCGGCCAAAGAGGCCCAACAAGTAAATACACACTTAATAAGGGTAACAAGATTCAATGCGGTTTCTTCTTTAAAGTAAAGACCAAAAGAAAGTAGAGTTCCATGTTTTTGCCCATACTTTGATATGTATTTTGTTGTCTCTTATTTTCTCTTTAGTCTGCCCGTAGTCGATTGGAGGTTTTTAACTATGGCTTAGATTTTTAACACCTTGTAATTTCCCGCTCTTTATTCCCATCAGTGTCATAATTTAAGATGGGGGTTGTAGTCTTTCGGCAATGCACTTTGGTTTTTCAGTTTTAGCGCCATCTCCACGCTCTTGATATAGAGTGACAGGACCTCTCTCATCTCGTCCGTATACGGGTCGAAGCTGAGTTTCTGCCGGGTACTCTCTCGTCGTTTAAACTTGCCGTCCGGTGAGCTCAGCGTACAGAGGATCCGTTCTTCGTTGGGCGGCTGGCCCAGGAACTGGACCATCTTGTTGAGCGATTCGAACGGGTCGTTTCGGAGGTCCTCGTAATGGATGACTAGGATCTTCTTGCTGTATTGGAGGATGTTCAAGGCTGTGTTGGTCCAGGTCCGTGACTTACCAGCCACGAAGTCGATCCATTCTGTAAAACAAAGCAAGGAAATTCATCACGTTATCAGTTTGTGTCACATAGGCAACATATACTTATTATAGTAACGTTTAGTAAAAACAAATGACTGGTTATATACTTGAAAACTGAATATAAGAGAGATTTGGATCAAAATAATGTTTGCCTGTAGTACGAATGGGATACAAATCGAAGCTATCAAGGGAATATCATTGCTAATAACCATGATGACATATATTCATAAAACATAAAATATTGACTTTTACATTAGCTAGTCAATCATGAGGATCATCAACGACCCAAGATTTTAAAAAATCCTTGAACATACTATAGTGAAATATTGTATCTATTGATGCTTTAACACAAGATTTCATGTCCTTTTAAAAATGGTAAACTAGTTTTGTTTTCTCTTTTGGTTCCTGTTTTTCTCTGGAGGAGAAAGATTTTGTTTTAATTGTATTTTATTATCAGTAAGTCGACCTTTAATCACTGTGACCCTTGGGGTTTTCCCCCTATATAACTGCTTTAGTGGAATGTGCAGGTGCACCATTGTGTAACCTGGGTTTTGCCCTCTATTCTAATTCAAACAAGTGGTGACTCTCCTCGACAAGTGGCCTCTATTTAACGCTCTATCCAAGGGATGGGGCGTTTTCACTCTAGCCTAATCTTTGAATAGGGACTTTTATATTTGCACATCGACATAGTCGACTGCTACGTGTGACGTCCTTATAAGGCACCAGCATTGCCTTAAAGCTTATCTGCCATAGTTTACAGGAGGGATTAGACCGCCCTACAAGGTCACTGGATAGGTGGTTATCTTATCAACTCAGCTCTCAGTTAACATAAGAAAAAGAGGATCTGGGGGACCAATGGTCACCGATTAGGTATTGTTTGTTATATAGAGGGCGCAAGTAGCTACAAGTAGTGCAGTGGGCCTTTAAAAGGACGTCACACGTAGCAGTCCACTATGTCGACGCAAATCTAAAAGTCCCTAATATCTCACCTGTTCCCTGTGTGTAGTGCTTCTCGTTGGCGAATCCAGTGTGACCGCCAAACTTTCGATTATGTTCAGACATGATGGCTTTGTAAGGGTTCCTGATGATGAGTATAGCGCCATCAAACGATGAGATATGCTCTTCATCAAAGCGATGTGTCTTCACTGCTATCGTGTTGCCTTTTCTCCAGTTCTCCCTCTCACCAAGAAAGCCTAAGTAGGAGAAGAAAGACATTGGTGACAGCGTGTTAGGCTTGAGGAGTTTTGTAAAAATGTCAGAGGTAAGGTGATGGCTAGGTGTTAAATAATAGGAATTGCAAAAGAAAGAAAAATGGAACAGAATTTGAGATGGAAAGAGAAAACAACTAGGAGAGCGAAAGAAAGAGGGAGAGAGAGAGAGAGAGAGAGAATCATAAAGAGAAGATAAGAGAAGATTGAGAAAGAGGCGAGTAGAAATGACGTATGGAATAGAATGAAAGAGAAGTGGTTTAAAAAAATAAAAAATGAAAAAAGGAGTGGAAGGTTGAATTAGTTTGGATAGTGGTCCTCGATCACTACTTTCATTATAACCAAACTTAGTGATATCATCAGGAGATGTAGAAGTAGCGAAAACCCTTTTTTCAAAGGGGGAGGGGGGTGTTATTGTTCCCTACATGGATCCATCTATTCAACTAACATTGATGTTCAGGATATATTTTTCGTACAATAGATAAAGCTGTATAATTATAGTGGTGTAGCACGGGTCTGCAACTGAGGGGGAGGGGGGACTAGCATCTGGGTGGAGTGGGGGGGGGGGGGGGGGGGGGGTCACCAAGGAAACCGATTAAAGTGAGGATACCGGAAGTACTTCTAACATCGTCGTTTCTGGTTGTTCCACCTCTCATCTTTTCCCTTTTCTCTATTTTGTCTTTCTTTTTTAAATCGGTATTTTGGGGGTATTTTTTTAGAGGGGGGGGGGGGGCACATACCTTTTCTGTAGAGATCTCCATCGTCGTAGTAGCTACCGGTAAAGATACCCGTAGCCCTCTCCACTAGATACCGGACCCATGTGTTACCTGAGCCAGGAAAACTTGCTAGAGTTATCAGCGGAAAGGTTCGCTCCTTCCCCATCACTATATTGGTACACCGTGAATCTGTGAGGTATGGGGAGGGGGGGGGGGGGGGGGGGAGGAGAAATAGTGTTAATAGGGTGAGATTTTCATTGAATAGACCAGTTCGTAGATGGTTCAAATGATTCCAAATATCCACATATCTTTTCATCATGGAGAAGTCCCACTTTGTGCATTTTAGATCAGCAAGGCCAAAGTGATAGAAAGTGCTCCTTTTGTTTGCCTTCTTAAAAAGAACACTTCCAGCTGAACGTAGCTTCGATGCATAAATGAATAATGATCACATAATATTCATACACATGTATCCAGGCATTCGTCTCAATGCTTTTTAACAACTTTGCACCTTATCTTCCCATGCGCTGATAGTATCTTTGAACTTGTTAAACATAGATTAAACCGTTTATGCTTCGTTCGGAAACATTCTGCAGGTATTAAAAATCATACAGGAGCATGAAGAAAATTACATCCCACTCATTTTCTGCTCTGTTCACAAAATTCACACACCCTTTATCGTTTCCTTTATATTTTCACCTTTTGAGGGGAGGGGGTCGGGGGTTGTAACAACTTTTTCTCTTTAAAAAAACAACCGAGCTGGAGCCCTTATACAAAAATTTGTATTTCTTTTGGGCAATTTCGAGGTATTGGTTGTTATTCATATTTTCTGATATTAATAGTAATGTCATCATTTATGTGTGCTGTCATAGATTATATTTATGCTCCTGGAAATTACATAAATGAATGAATAAATCAACAAATTAATGAAACAATATAGATAAATAGATGAATAAATATATTAACTGAATTAATGAAAAAGTGAATATAAAAACAATTCAATAAACAAACGAAACAGCAAATGAATAAAATGAATTAACAAAAAGTTGTAAAAACATTACCTTCGACGCCTGTTTGGTAGATTGCATAGTAGTTTGTCCCGCCACAGAAGACACTGGAATCACCTGCGCAAGGCTCCTGGCATTCGCTGGGCTCCACCGTGTGACGAAGGGTGTAGTTATGTGTGAGGTAGCCGCAGTGACATTGGGATCCGCGAAATAATGCTGCAAGAGGCAGAGACTGCAGGGAAAGTAAGTGAGAAAGAAAGAAAGAAAGAAAGAAAGAAAAAGAAAGAAGATGATTTACAAAACATTCTGTTATGTTATTAATTACTATGATTCAGGATAATCTATTTCCATATGACATAAAGAGATTTTAATAATTTGTAAAATGTGATATGCTTGGCCAATTTTGCATGGAATATAAGTAAAAGCAACCAATCAAACAATATAAATAATTTTGGAGAATTTTGGGATTTTTATGAAAATAAAACCTCAATCGAGGTGCTTTATATTAATACTATTAATATAGGGACTGCATCTAATTTGCAAGTGATATTAAAATAATTTATTATTATCTCTGTCTTTTTATTTACTGCACACATAATACATAAATGTGTCACTATTCGGACACCTTTCCAGCAATTTCCTTAACTGTTTATATATAGTACACAAGTAATCTCCCTGTATCACATTGTATTCACCATAGGATAGATACAAATGTTTTACAATTATTTAACCAATTCCAGTGCAAGAATAATATGTTTCGGTGTTGAGAGGGTTGCTATGGAGACTGGAAACAGGTACTTTTGCAAAGCCATTATGTTTCACGAAGAGATCCTTCCGTCGATCGGTGTTTTGTGCAACATTGCATGTGTGGTAAACAAGCGACCGCCCAGACAGAGACGAAGTAACCAAGTGAAGAGTTAATGAATCCATTAATAAATCATAACTCTTAATATTGGAAGTTCCATTTCATTGGACCGTCTCTTTGGAGATGTATTTGCGTCGTATATATCGAGGGTTCAGTGGCACAAAGACGTAACTCCATATTTTGCCAAAATGAGTATTTGATATCAAAATGTTCAGAAAATGTGGGCTTTGCAGGAAACACAAAGACTTAACTCCAACCAACACTCCATTGAAGTCAATGGCTAGTGAAACATAGACTTAACTCGGTAAGGCCCAAGTGCTCAGTGACACAAACCACTTTTTCTCAAAATGGCCAAAATGGAGTTACGTCTTTGTTTCACTGACCCCTCGATATGATACTAATTAATCAGGTACTGCTTAGTACCAGGCATGCATACACACAATAGATAAAATCAATCAGCATCATTTATCGCTACTAGCACTAGGTTCAATCAAATAATGGGCTGATGTTATGGCACAAAATAATTACATTAAAAATGAATGATTTAAAGACCTTTATTACCCAAACAGTACACATTGAAATCACATGTACAATCTCTGGTAACACGACGCCGCTTGATATAGCAATGTATTGTAGGGTGCCCCCCCCTTTGTTAATCCTTGTTAAACAAATAACAACTTACATTAATAGGGTATACATCCTTTGTTTCAACAGATACCCATCATCCCAATATAACTGCCAAATGAGGAGAAATATTCTATGCTTTTCTGAAGCCCTTTGTTATCCTTCAGTTGTACCTGGTATACTTCCCTAGTGTTTTCATTTCCCTCAATGGCATTTGCATACTCGGGAGGGAGCAGTTGAGAGGGAGCAGTTGGGAGGGGCGGTTGGTGGAAGGGGGGGGGGGCTGGGCGAGGGGGCTGGGCGAGGGGGTTGGGTAGTTGTGAAGAACCGAAGTCGCAGCGTGGACTCAAAGAAAACCACAAAATCCAACGATCAAACAATGACCAATAAATGAATAATTAAACAAAGGGATTTGGTCCTCAGATGTCAAAAGTTGCCTAAAAAGTATTTTCATTCATTTCTCTCATTTCATTATAGGCCTACACGTAAATACAAAATAAACATTATGTAAATTATTATCAACTTACTTGTTTTTCGCAAATCGTAATACAAATAGAGGTTGTCATTTTATCACTTTCTTCCATGAATTTGGTGAAGGAAGTGTAATCGTCTGGTCTTTCCGCACAGCTCCGGTATCCATCTCGAAAACCTTTCATTGGACCTTCCTCTGTGAATCAAAGAAAAAGAACAGAATTTCTGTTATGTTTATTTCCCAAAGGTAAATATCAACTCATGAGAGCTACAAAAGATGTAGTGCGCATGTAATAAATCGTACTTGTATGTCTTTCTAAAATTGCCCTGAGAGGCTTACCTAAGTTTGAGGGGAAGACGTCATCGTTAAATGTTTAAAAAAGGAAACGCGCCCCTTTCAAAAGTTTTCATGTTTTCTGTCTGAGTTTCCTGAATGCACTTGGAAGAAATTCGACTATTACCCCGTGTTTCATTTGGGGGGTGAGATATTTCATCCAGTGGGTGAGGTAATCGAACACAACACTAAACAGATTACATAGATGAAATATAAGAGAAGAAAGGATTGCCAAATTTGTATGGTGCATGGAGATGCACTCCAAAACACAGCACAGTGTTTTTAATGTATTTGTCCATAGTACATATTAGGATAGGTGGAGTTGACTAACAACTTTAACGAACACAAATCCAGTGTTCTTCTTGACGAGTAGTGAACCTGTATCAATCTACGTCACATGTAATTTAGTATGGCCTGATTTCTCCAGCTCCAGAGGAGACGCTTCGGAAACAGCTAAATTACTCTCGTGGAATCCATGGGACAGATTTAGGAAGCGAGTAATAGAAAGAGAGTAATTTCACAGTCTAAAACACACTGGCACCCCAACAGATTTATAAGAGTTCTAAGAGCGGGTTTGCCTCCTAATTTATATGGAAATAAATTGAACGCGCTGCTTGACATTTTCCCATTTTCCCATTTATATTGTATAAGTGTTTGATGGCATTACGCCAACATCCAATATCGCGTGCCAAACCACACTTTCTCCATCTCTTCGACGACGGCCCATCCGAGATAGTTCCACAAAATGTTGTAAATAGAACCCTCAACAAGAGGGCGGTTCTGATATCATGATGGGAAATGGTCTTGGGAGTCATCATCAATAGCTACCCATCAACGAAATTGCATTATCATTTCAAACCATTCTCAATTCGAGGTAGAGTTTCGTTGAAATTGAAAATATAATTTATAGGAGAATTCCTGTTCATTTCATTCGTAAGATGAAGAATGTCTTTGTAGTTTCCTATTTTTCAATTAAAACATAAGTACAAATACGTACAAAAGCGTAACATAAATAGGCGAACAACTGCAAGCAATACTCAATTCAATGCCACTCAGCATCGGCATCGTCATTTTCTTGATAGCATGACGTACTATGTGAGGTTGTTTATTAATTTAATGTACTTAAATGTTAAGGATGCTTCCTTACCAGGTGTGTGTGGTGATGAAGCATTTCATTCAACTCCTACTGTGCTTTATGATACTTGCCAGAACGAAAATTACATAAATAAGCTGTTGTTCTTCTGCGATGGGCTGAATGTTTCGCATAAAAGAAATAGATTTGTCAAATGCTATATTTTAGTATTCTTAAAGAAATGAGTTATAATTGTTCCCCTGTTATGTATTTTCCCCATTTATAATTTTTCCTTCTCAGCTACAATTCCCCTCATTGATAAGTAAAGGTTTTGTTATTTAATGAAAAAGTCTTTAAAACTGAAGCTAGGTGGATGATACATGTATAACTTCACCTGGTACGTCACATTTTCAAGAAAATGGCTGCGCCCATATCATGCTGAAAGACATCACATCATGCCAGGAATATCTTCATTTATAAATCTCTTGTTCATTTTCGTAAGGGGTATTGTACATCAAAGGGCAGGAATGCATCTCATTTTTCAGAATACCTACATCTACTTTGGGGTGAGGTTTCTTTTTAGTAACCTACAAGGATGGTTCTTCATCATTTTATCATAAGCTACCATGAATGTGTGATGAAGGTCGATCTTTATTATCCCATGTGATATCTCACATGACCTGGGTGTCAATGTCACATGACTAGGATCTCAATGTCACATCGGGGATTCATAAAAGCACGGCATCTCGTTATGAGGTGATCATTACCATTATACTAATGAACTTCATTATCTTCGTCAGTGTAATCCACTAGCCCAGTGGCATAACGTGGGTCCATACATTGGAGGGGCGGGGTCGGGGGGTTTGGGGTCGGGGGTTTGGGGTCGGGGGTTTGGGGGCCGGGGAACCGCTCTTAAATTATTAATGGAATGCAAATTATCAAGGTAAACAAAATAAGGGGGATATATAGGAGAGGGGTCGCAATGTCTTCCTTTCATGTTCCCTTCTCCATCTACCATGTATTTTGCCTTTCTTTTTCTCAATCCTACTATTTATTTTTGCATTTTCCTCTTCTTCTTCTTTTTTTTTTTGGGGGGGGGGGCATGTACCCATGTGCCCCTGTAACTACGCCATTGCACAAACCAGCCAGTTAACACTAATTCATTTTTACAGTGTCAACACCAGCATCTCAATCTAATTGGCAATAAGCCCATTCTCTTTGATTTCGTTGTCAGAATGAAATCATGCTTGATGTTCATCATGAGATCGTGATTATCATCCATGGTAAGTATACCAGATACATTACATCAATGTCTCTTCCTCCCTTTCATCAATCTGTCACAACTCAGCCTCGAGCTAAAATATCAATCTCATCAATTGACTGAGCTGATATCAAAGAGCGGATCTTTCCAATCGTAATCATAACCAAGGCCTTTTTCAAACCTCACGCTCCAAAGCATATTCGTTTATTTTCCTGTAACTATCTGATTATTTCCATCTCAATGATCCCCTTGTTACGAGATTATTACTATAATATTACTGCTGTCATCATCGCTTTCGTTATATTTATCATTCTTCAAATCGACATTGTAATAATTGTCATCTACTGCCATCGTCATCGTCAACGTTACCACTGCAATTAACATCCTCATCATTTCCTATCAATGCCAACGTTATCACTACCATATGCTTATCATAACATCGTCCAAATATTTGGTTGTGATGTTAAGATCGACATCGTAGTCACTGTCATCACCATCGCCGTGATAATTTTTCTCATCACCAGCGGAGTGCTAAAATAGACACCACCGTTCCAAATAACTGTCTAAACAACGCCCCTCCTGTCTTAAAGTCAGCAGCACCACCACCGTTGTAATCAACCTCTTCATTATTTCAAAACGTTTACACCATAACCACTATCATTACACATTGTCTATCCTTCCCCCTCCCACTCTCCATCCTCCTCCCTACCACCCTGTCTTCCAGAAGTATAATCAATACTCCAAACTAACTCCAAACCTACTCCAAAATCGAACCATTCGGGGTAATCTTAAATCTTTGTTCGGTCTGTTGTCGGTGTGGCGTCGGTGTGGCGCCGGTCTGCTATCGTTGTGGAGACAGTATGGTGTCCGTCTGTTGTCGATCTGCCAGCATTGTTTTGTTCGGTGTGCTGTCGGTCTGGCGTCGGTTTGCTGCCGGTCTGGCGTCGGTCTGATGACGGCCCGCCCCCCCCCCCCCCACTCAGTGTTATTTAGGGTACGCATATGCGTGTTCCCTCCTTTTGAAAACACCCCCTAAGTCCGGTGTGTAAAGTCAATTTTGCGTATGTACGAGCCGGACTTTGGTGTGTGAAAAGTACCCCTTTACCGGACATTTTGGTAACACGCATGCGGTCATTCCGACCCCGGAGTAGGGGGGGGGGGGGGTGACGGTCTGCTGTCGGTCTGGCGTCGGTCTGTTTGCGTTCTGCTTTCGGTCTGATGCCGTTGTGCTGTTGGTTTGGCGTTGGTCTCGTTGGTGTGACTGCGGTATGACCGGGTCATTAGATAGTATTTAATAACCTGCGGCAAGCTGATGGGCGATGCACTACTTAAGGCTAACGATCTCCAAGCAAAATGTCATCTTATGTCAATACCCCTATCTCTTGAAAACCATCCATCATTCCAATCTCATTAAAGTGGTCTACCGTTGGCTCAAAATACAAAGAAGGAGCTAATTTAGCTGTGTGGTTACATCAGTATCCACGTTACTAGACTTCATCGATGAGTATCCAAAACAAAACAAAAATGGGGGGGGGGGGAGGAAACTGGTCAGCTTTGCCTTTTGTTGGTTTGGTTTGATGTTTTGTGGGCCTTCAAATGGAGAGAGGAGGGGGGGGGGTCACCCGCTTCAGCCCTTGCTGGATAGTGGATACCCCCATTAGATAAAGACACCACAAAATGTCAACTCTTTGGCAAGCTGACATTTTCAGCAGCAAAGAGAATTACTCCCGACGGATGAGTTCATAAAGATCACAGGAACACTGGTATTATGTCATTTTAAAAAGGGGTTCGGTTTGGCACGACACAAGGAACTCTGTAAATATGGAGAAGGATTGGCAAACATGATGTTAATGTTCTTCCAATTGTAACCAATAATTACATTTATGTCTTCATCCTTCTTTATAGCCGGAAATTCATATTTTGAATACTGTCACTTACATTAGTAATTGGACAATACATATTACAGGGCATATACGAACACCTAACGAAGTTATCTCGCAAAATATGCTTGGTACCAATATAATAATGTACATGCATTTTTTGTATTAACAGATTTTAAGTAGAACAATATCTATCCACTTTTGTATATCTAAATCATGTATTAGATCCAATCCGCTACTCGTTCCAGTTCAGTTAGACGTAGATGAAGTCTGACTAGATTTCATATTGAATCACTGACATCATTCTACATAGAATTGCGAATACTTTTTTTTACAGCAAGTACTTTCAAGGGTTGAGAATTGTATTACATGTAAATCACGCATTGGGAATAAAGTCATACTACACGGGCTGTATTGTTTCCACACTCCATGCATGCTGCCCAGTTCACAAGCAATGGCTGAAAGGACTTGGCAGCATGAAAGAAAGAAAGGAAGAAGAAATAAAGAAGGAAGGAAGGAAGGAAGGGAAGACGGATCTTAAAGTGGATGATGTTGATCAGTCTCTCATGTTGCCTGGCTGGAGAATAAGTGTTGAGATTCGTTGCACGAACAGAGTTCGATAAAGAGGAGGCCACTTAGATGCGACAGA